GTGTGTGTGTGTGTGTGTGTGTGTGTGTGTGAGAGTGAGAGAGATGAAATGTCCTCCAAAGGGTTAGTGATGCTTTTACAATGCACTGCATTTGTGGTATTCACTTTTTCATGTTAACTGGCTCCATGGTTTCTGTCAAAAAGCTTTTCTTGAAAGTTTATATAATTCTTTGAAACACGTTTGTTGTAATACTTTGTATCATTTGGAATACTTCCAAAAGTTCAAAGCAAACCCGATAATTCTGCTGCCCTCCAGGGGTCTGTTGCTTTCTTTTGGTTTAGGCTCAGAGTGTGGTGTTTGAAGACCATTGTTCAACAGCTAGATCATTGTTCTGTGATGCTTTGGAAGGTTTTATCTTGACCCAACATCCTCATGAAACAGCTGGTGCAGTTAATCAAGAAATTTGGAATGGGAAATCATTAATATTCTGATACTCTGTACCATCCAATTCCACGGAGGCAATTGTTATTGTTAATATTTTTCCAAAATTTGAGAATCGCCTGAATGGAAAAATAAAATACATTGAATTTCAGTGTAGATGAGATAATATTAATGCTGGTAAGCAAGAAACTAGAGTCAGGAATGGAGATGCAGTCTACTTTGATGGGATTACTTTCCCCCCAAAATGCAGTTAATAGTCTGGGAGTGATTTTAATCCTCAGTGGTTACTGATCCATAGGTAGTAAGTATCACAGGGAACATCTTTGCTCAGTTACATCTAAGCCACAGCCTTCTGAGCTGAGCTAACTGGATTTTCTTATGCTAGTTGTTCTTGAGATGCTTTGTTTATATTCCGTCTTGGCCACTGGACTGATCAAGAGGGTAACCTTGAAAAAGGTTGTATTAGATACTTTGTGCTAATAAGGATATACTTCAAGTAAGGAATGAATGAATGAATGAATATATGCACAAATGCTTGCATGGTTTGCACGCTTGCATGGTTTCATACAATCCTTTGCCATTGTCCATGATGTTGGACTTGATGAAATCCATACCAAGAAGGACACCAAGTTACTTAGCCCTGTGCCATGAAAATATCCACTTGCGTTTTCACTTCAAAAACATTTAATAAGCCTCTACAGACTGTGTCTATTCTGACCATCAGTGCGTATAAGACTTTGGAACAATATATGCTTGATTCCTAGCGTTCACCTATATAGTAATTGTTGTAAGCAGCCCTCTATCAAATTACTATGTACCCACATCTAAGGTTTTATTGTACGTTATTGCCATTAAAAAGGAGTGAACATGTCCCGATTCACTGTATAAGGTAGAATATTGTGGATTCTACCATAAAAGGCAAAGAACTGCACAACTCTTCATTGTGATCCAATTTTATATGAGATTCGGTGTCATTCTTGAATCTCCAAACTGGTAGATACTTGTGTAACTAGTTACTGATGGAAGCACCAATCATTAAAATAAACCAGGACCAATTAAATATCAGAGATTGGACTTAAATAGCACTTTGATGTGCCGTTAAGTAAATGCATTTCAAGGCAATTAGTGAATTCACACATTTTGTTTCTACTGCATGTATGACCTGGCCCATGACAACCTCATTCCTGCATATTTTATTGAAACAGAAATTTTGCCTTCTACGTGTTGGGTCTTAATGGCAGATTAATTGAAAACAGAATTTCTGGATGTTATTTTTTTCACTCTGGCTGCCACGGTTGTCAATGCTTCATTATAAACCTGTAACACAATAAAACATTCCATTATCAAAGCAAAGACTGCAATTAACATAACTAGAAGATCAGACTGCATCTACACAATGGCATTTGGAGTTTTTCTAGCACCTGCTCTAAAGCTACTCCGAAAAAGGTAAGTTTCCTGAAGTTGGGAAAACAGGATTTTGAAATATCCTCCCTTCCCCTCCCTTTGCATCACACCTTTGTAAACCGAAAGACCATTCGCTCACAGCAACATCACTGGGGATCCATGCCATTGGGATGATTTCAAATGAAGCTAGAAAAAAAGTGAAGCAAAATTAAATCAAAGCTATTTTTTTGTTTTTGGCAGCATTCTAATTCCTTGTAGATCAGCAATATTCCATCGACTGGAATGGATAATTGAAATATGACTCCCAAGCCGATTGAGTAGGTAACAGATTTTTCATCATCTCGTAGGAAACTGCCTCAGGAGAGTACTTCCCTATGTAAGTACTAGAGAAAAGATTGTGCCATGATAGTATAGAATGTTTTATGTTACAGACAGCAACTGTACTTGCCATGTTCTGTCAGCGTGTTGTATAAAGTAATTTTGTAGCCTGGGGAATATGAAATGTTTAATTGAATGTGAAGCTGATCATATGCATATTTAACTCAAAATGTTTTTAGGGCATATTTAGGAAAGTTATTATCTTGATTTGAAAAAGAACTGATGTAGAAGCAGCAACAGAAATCCTCCTAGGACTAACAGATATTGAGACGGTGACACCTACGAGGATTCATTTGCATGCAAAGAAAAAAATGTTAAAAGAGACTTCAAAGTAATTTTTTTTAAAAAACTATAAATTATGTTTAGTTAAGTTGCAGCATGAGAACAAGATTGTCTTCAGTTAACAATGGTAATTGGGATAGGGAACTCCATTGCAAAGTAATATGGTTGTAAAATGCAATGTCACATGATTCCTGCAATGGTAATTAGGAACGATGTCACGTGAGTGCCACTTGCCACCTCTTGCTGGTTTCTCAACTGACTTTCTGTCAACTCATAGCACTTTGCTTATTGGAAGCCAGCAAGTGAAAATTACAAATGGAAATCATGTGTCATTGTGCTGCAACCATCATAATTGTGAGGCAGTTGTGAAGTGCCAGAAGCTCGATCAGCTGACCATAAGGGGCACTACTGTGGCTTTAACTTTGAGAACCAATTGTAAAGTCTCCTCATTCAGCACCATCATAACTCTGAATGGTTGCTGAATCTTGTCATACTGATATTGGAAGTACTGAGGAATTTCTGGGTTGAAAGGGTTAGCTGGTGACATCACTGATGTCCAGGGGACACCTGTTGCAGGGTCCTTTCATATTGCAGGCAGGAGCTGACGCAAAGGACAGGAATGCACCCCACCCGACAGCAGCACTTGGTGTTGAACGCAGGCTTGCTGCTTGTCAAGCCAGTGTCCTAACCACGTGAGCCACTATGCTCCCAGATCGTTGAATCATAGTCACAGTACCTGTGTTCTGAATTTAAATTTCAATATCCTGTAATGATATCAGCATATAAATAATGCAAATCAAACTGTGTTTCTGATCATGGGCCTGAAATCAGCTTTAAAGCCCCTTTGCTCAGAGTACAGCAGAATGTTGCCTGAACTTTAGCACTTTTTAAAAATCTCTTGGACTTAAAACTGGGGGCACCACCTTCATTCTTGCAATCAACCTCTCCACATCACTTTCTCAGAAAATCTGTGCTAAGTAAGCACCTTAATAGGAATGTGAGAACTACAAAGTGAAGATGGAGACTTAATGGTTAGGGAATAAGCTATTTCTATTGTGAGCAATTGAATGATACAAGGATCTCTGATACCATTTTATTTTATTTTTTGCAATTTTAAGATACTACAAGGGGCTTACTTCTGGTAAGGACAGATCAGTAATGATACAAATGTTCTTTTCCTCACCAATTCCATTTTTTCCCCATGTTTGTCTTTTTAGATTTCAAATCTGGAGGTATGAAATTGTTTACCAGTGGTCAGGGTGCCCAGGCAATTGGTTCTTTAGGATCCAAGGACAATAAAAACCCCAGTAAATAAAGGGATATTAAGCTTCATTTTTAGCTCAAGCAAACAGATTTAAAATCATAACATAAAAATCATACATACTAAACAAGATGATATCCAAATATTTTACAAGGTGTCAGGAGCTCCTTAATAATAATAGCAGAGATATTCCAAGGTATTGGCCAATTTCCACAGCACTAGATTTCACGCAAACAAATAACAACTAAAATCTAGAACCGTGGTTTTGGTCAGGAGACTGCAAAACTGACCTTATTATGATTATTAGTACATGACTGAGATGTGAATCAAAAGTCTGAGACTTTCTCAGCAAGAGATGCTTTAAAGCTGCCCACTTCTTTATTCACTAAACAAGAGTAGAAAATAAATAAATAAAATCAAGCAGGCTATCTCAGAACGAATTCTAAACTTCAACACTTTTCTTAATATGAAAGAGAAATCAAAATATGCCACTAGCTCCTTGAAATAACAATGATCTTCGGTATTGCCACTACAAAACTGTCTTGTTTTATATTAATCTGGAAGACACACTGGGACCTTTTCAGTGTTTTTGTTCTTTGATTTAAAAAAAAAGTGAAGTAAAAGAAATTTTTCATACAAAGGCAAAACTCAGTATTAGAAATAAGGACAAGGTCTTGATGCGACTATTATGAACCTGTCTATTAATTTCATAATACTTAAAAACAAATTTCAATTGGGTTATTTGAAAGAATTCTCTCCTTTCAATATATTGCTTTCGTCTTATTCCTTTAAATTAGTAGACCAGCAAAATACTGTGGACGTAATATATTTAGATTTCAGCAAGGCATTCAATAAAGTAAACCACAACCTACTTCTTAGTAAGCTAGAAAAAAGTGGAATGGATTCGCAACTGGCTGGCAAACCATACTCAACGAGTAGTCCTTAATGGGCCTAAGTCTACATGGAGGGAAGTAAGCAGTGGGGTGACACAAGGTTCCATCTTAGGCCCAGTACTCTTCAATATCTTCATTAATGACTTAGATGAGGGAACAGAAGGGGAACTTACCAAATTTGCAGATGATACTAAGCTGGCAGGAATAGCTAACACCCAAGAAGATAGACTAGAACACTGGGCCATATCACCCATCTCACTTTACAGAGCAACTCTGGTTTTATCCCATGATTGCCTAATCTCATTATAGAAGAGAAATAATAGCTCGGTTGTTCAATATTTATGTGAATATTTATGTGAATATTTGTGTGAATATTTATGGCAAGGAAGTAACAGGCAACAGAGAGAAAGCAGAACTGCTTAACTCATTCTTTGCATCTGTCTTCACGCAAAAAGAAACTATAGCTCAACCCACCAAAAACATAACTGTAAAAGACAGACCAGAAATAAAAGTTAAAATAAGCAAAAAAAAAATAGTGAGAGAACACCTGTCTGATCTTGATGAAAACAAATCACCGGGGCCTGATGGATTACATTCCAGAGTTTTAAAGGAGCTGGTACAGGTCATCTCAGAAGCACTGCACCATATCTTTCAAAAATCCTGGAGCACCGGGGAACTACCAGAGGACTGGAAAAGAGCTGATGTGATTCCCATCTTCAAAAAGGGGAAAAAAAAAAAACAGACCCAGGAAACTATAGACCAATCAGCCTAACATCAATGCCCGGGAAGATACTGGAAAAGATAATAAGATCTGCCAACATCTAGAAACAAGTAAAGTAATAACTAGCAGTCAGCACGGGTTTGTTAAAAACAGATCATGACAAACCAATCTTATTTCATTCTTCAACACAGTGACTAAATTAGTAGACCAGCAAAATACTGTGGACATAATATATTTAGTTTTCAGCAAGGCATTCAATAAAAGTAGACCACAACTACTTCTTAGTAAGCTAGAAAAAAGTGGAATAGATAGCACCACCACTAGATGGATTCTCAACTGGCTGGCAAACCGTACTCAACGAGTAGTCCTTAATGAGTCTAAATCTACATGGAGGGGAGTGAGCAAGTGGGGTGCCACAAGGTTCCGTCTTAGGCCCAGTACTCTTCAATATCTTCATTAATGACTTAGATGGGGGAATAGGAGGGGAACTTACCAAATTTGCAGATGATACTAAGCTGGCAGGAATAGCTAACACCCAAGGAGATAGACTAGAACACTGGGCCATATCTAATAAAATGAAATTCAATATAGAGAAAAGTAAAGTCCTACACTTAGGCAAGAAAAACCAAAAGTGCACATATAGACTGGGTGAAACCAGGCTCAATAGCAGTAACTGTGAGAGGGATCTTGGAGTCTTAGTGGACAACCAGCTAAATATGAGCCAGCAGTATGCAGCAGCTGCCAAAAAAGCTAATGCAATCCTAAGTTGCATCAACAGAGGGATATAGTCAAGATCAAGGGAAGTACTAATACCACTCTATAAAGCCTTAGTAAGACCACATCTAGAGTACTGCATCCAGTTTTGGTCACCACATTATAAAAAAGATGTTGAGACTCTAGAAAAAGTACAGAGAAGAGCAACCGGGATGATTAGGGGACTGGAGGCTAAAACATACAAGAAACGGTTGCAGGAACTGGGCTTGGCTAGTCTAGTAAAGAGAAGGACCAGGGGAGACATGATAGCGGTCTTCCAATATTGGAGGGGCTGCCACAGGGAGGAAGGGGTCAAGCTATTTTCTAAAGGTCCTATAGGCCAGACAAGGAATAATGGATGGAAAATGAACAAGGAGAGATTTAACCTGGAAACAAGGAGAAACCTTCTGACAGTGAGAACAATCAAGCAATGGAACAGCTTGCCCTCGGAAGTTGTGGGAGCGCCATCAGTTGAGACTTTCAAGAAGAGATTGGACTGCCATTTGTCAGAAATGGTGTAGGGTCTCCCACCTGGGTGGGGGCTTGGACTAGATGACCTACAAGGTCCCTTCCAACTCTGATTATCTGTATCTTTGAATCCTAAAGAATTCTACTTTATTTAACTACGACTAATGTAGTTTGGGATTGTTGACTATTAAATGCAGATTCTCAAAAGCTTTCATAGAAAAAGGTGAAAATTTCTCTCCAAGAAACTGAATGATAGAACCCATCTCTAAACCTTCCATGATGCAACTATATGCTTGATCTCATTTGGATCACCTTCTGAGAATGCTTTCTTGGCCCTAAATAAATTCTCAATCCAACACCCATTTGTATCTGTATGCCCATAAGCACACTTCCAAAAGGACAGCAGTTATCTTGCCAGAGGAAGAAAAAGAAAAACCAAAGAAAGAAAACTTAGAAACATGGCCAACCGTTGTGGTTTCAAGGATAAGTTCAGTGTTTCTACTAAATAATCAAGCATGGTGCTTCTTTCTTTGAAGCTTATATGGAACCCTTTACAATAGAAGAACTTATGAACTATCCCAACATATGGGTTGTTTGAGGAAAGTATCATTATGTTATGT